ATTCTATTTTTCCAGATATTTTCAAAAGCAGTTAAGCATAAGTCACTTATTCTCTCAGCAAAACTGAGAAAGATGTTGATAAACTACATGAAGAAAAATGGCCAGGTTCCTAATGGTTCAAGGATAATGATGTCCCTGATGAATGACTGAAATCACTCTATTATTCTAGTAGGCCAAAAGAGCAAAAGGTCTGTGCAGAGGGAATAGGAAGTCAAAAGCAATCTATATAAATATTTCTAGAGCCCCAGAGAGGCAGGAAGGGGGAATGCTCATTCTGTGAGGTTCATTTCCACAAGTTCTCTTTCTCCTGTCTCATAAGCCAGAACCTTTCTTTGAATGATAGACCCAGACCTTTTCTCCATAAGCAGAGAGTCACGATGTTGATCCTCCTGGTGTTTCTGGTAGACAAAAGAGTTACTCTGAGCTGTCCTGCAAGTGATGCCTTCCCTATTCCACATGAGTGGTACCAGCCTGGTGACCTTGTCATTGGTGAAATGGTTTCTCAGATGGTTTACCAGTTTTTTGGAATTCCGTTTAATCAACATCCTTTTCTAAACCTTTACGATTCACCAAAGTAAGGATTTTCCTTTGAATTATCTGACCGTGCTAAGATGACTAATAGCTGTTTTCATAGAAAATTTAGAGTTTTAAATGAAACGGTAAGAATTTTGTGTGTTTTGAAAGTTTTCTGACGGTGACAGAAGAGAGAATTTTCTTTACATTTTACTACGGGCTTTCTCATAAGAAAGCACATTTGGTGACATTAAGATCCTGAATAGAAGAATGCTCAAAGTCTGCACTGCCACTTTTCACAAAACATAAATAAATATGAGAATCAAGCTAAATGTATTGGCATTCTATTTTGACTAAATGGATAGGGAATTATTGTGGTGGAGTAAAGGTACTTTCATGTTTCGATCTCTAGCAGCTGACACTGGACACAAATCACAGCTGTTGACTCTAAGGGAGCTTAGAATGATGACTACTCATGAGATCTTCCTTCAGAAATCAAAAGATGAAGAAAACAAAAATGTGTGGGGCTAGAGAGAATCTCACCCTAATTCTGTAATTCTTTCTAATTCAATAGAGTTCCTAGAAATCTAATCAACATAGAAAAAGAACAAACAGAACACTTGTTGCCATCCTAGTCTAGTTTCAACTCAACACTGCAGTTAAAACTTTAGAAATGACCACAATAAGCCCTATGATTAGTAGCATTCTAGAATAATGTAAAGGAAAATACTGTGCGCAAAGCAAATTTGGACTGATTACCAAAATATTTAGTATTCCTTTTAGACAACTTTTTTCTTACTCAGTTACAAACAATGACCACACTGGAAGGATATGCAAAATTATATTTTGAAAGACTGTTCTTAATTGATTTGCAGTATAATCTTAAAATTCTACCAGCACGTCCTTGCCATGACCTTTGCTGTGAAGGAGATCAATGAGGACTCCCAGATCTTGCCTAACATCACTCTTGGGTT